TCTGAAGTTCATTTTTATTTGTCAGAACTGGATAATTGCAAAAGCTTCCACTTCAGTAGTGATCATATAGACCTGATCTTAGACCGACTACATGATCAATGAAAACAAAATGTGCCTGGAAAAAATCACATATTGAAAGAATAACAGTCAATTTCGCTTGAGATCGTGATAGCTGTTCAAGGAGTGCATGAATCAACTAATCATCGCACTCCATTCAGGTAAGACCGTTGGTCGGCTCGGAGTCAGTATAATGTGTCTGAGTGGGGTATTCGTGTTTCACTGCGGCATGGTATCTCAGTGGGCTTGCAGTGTAAAACCAGCTTAAGTATGGGCTAGCACAAGCATGCATGTCGTCATATGAGCGAAATATTCTCAAGCACGACGTTAAACCCAATTTCACCTCACCTCAGGTAAGACTCTTCACTGTGTAGATCAACCCGTGATAGAATTGATCTTCAGTAACCCATGCTTGTCGTAAGAGGCGACTAACGTGATAGGGCGGTCAGGCTCGCTGACTTGGTTGGCACATGTCATCGGTTCCCAGATCAATGCTCATGCTGTTGATCACTGGATTGTCTGGTCCAGACCCGATTATTTACAGACCGCCGCCAAATAGCTGGAATATTGCTATAGTGCGGCGTAAAACTAAACTCACTCACTCAGTGTGTACATCATTCTAAAGGTTCATTTGATCATATATCATGCAATCCCTATGCAGACCCATACAACACAGTCAGAAAGAAACCAAAGCAATCCAACGAAGCCCTCATTGTGTCCAATATTCCCTTTACAAGACTTCTGTTTATCGCCACCAGGAAGAAACGGTTCAGAGAGATGAAGTTATCAAAGTCTTTTAATGTAATAATTATTAGTCACACTGATAGGGTGAAATCTGGGTTAATATGATTTTCTATCCATTGCAAATCAATAGTTCTTTGAGACAAAACATAACCGCCAGTTTCATGCAGCAACCTTATAATATAAAAAACGATCAAAGATAATGTAAGAAAAAGTTTGTGGCATTGCCCTAGCAGATTTCATGCAATAAGGAGAATGCTCCGCTGTCGAGTTACACAATAAATTCACAATCATTCTGACCAATAACAGGATTGATATGGCATTAGTTCTATATACGACTGTCTGTTATATCAATAAGATAAAAGAGGTTCCAATTTGTACATTGATTACTGCTGCATCTGGTTCACTAACTCTCTGTCTCCCCGCGGTGTTGAAGAACAACACATATGCATTATCATCGTCTCGTGGACATGCACGTGCAAGGGGGTTGAAGAGCATTTAAATGAACTGGATGTATCAGTCTGTCATCAATGCAAATAAACGATTTTAAAAGCTGACTTCCACATGAGCAGACAGACACGTTAATGCTTTGACGTTGGAAAAACAATCAATGATCAATCGACCGTTGATTTTTATCCCTCTCCAGAATGAAATGAAAGATGGATGGAAATGTAATGAGTGTGCGAATTCTTTTTGTGTTGCAGTAGAAAGAGCTTTGTGCTTTTCTTTACATGGATTTTCGTGGTTACATGCATTCCTTTGAATAAATACATATCACCTCACATGACATTTACTGGAAGAGATGCAGCAAAAGGCCACAATCAGTAAAACATATTGATATTACGATCACATACTTTCATAAAAACACCCAATTACATTGGGCACTTAGCATGTTAGAAAACAAGAAGTGGGATGACTTCAAAGACGCCTGTTATGATTCATGTCCCATTTCTCTATGTCGAAATAGATTGTCAGGACCTGATCATATTGAGCTGATTACTTGTGTATTCAATGAAAAATATAATTATTGTAAATGACAACAATTCCTATTGGAAGAACAAGAACAGAAACGTGAATGCTTAAAACACTACTCTAAATAACAGTGGTACAAATGTCTTATTGATGGCAGTACACGTGAAACTGACTTGCCTGTACCATGAGAATATAAACGTGGCAGACCCTTTCTTTATTGTATGAAACCAGAGAAGGCACATGTTCGAAGGATTCTACCTGTCTCAAATATTTGTGAATATATGGAAAGTTCTTCCTTAATAGTACTAGGGAATACAGTTAAGACAGGGATTTAGCGAGATAGTAGAAACTGTCGTTTTTGTCAAATACATTATATTTCAAACATTTTATATTAATATCATTTACGCTTATTCACGCCAAGGCCTTATGAAAATTTAAAAAATAGATAATAAAACCGCAATCCAAACTTTTAATTTGTATGAAATCATGAATCATGATTATTCAATATGTGTTCGAATTGATTCTAATGGATGTTCATATGCACATTTTCTCTATAGTACATTACTAAAGATGCATGCACACATGCGTGTTATATATAAACGAACTATGAACGGTTGTGAACATAACTGTTTTATAGCACTGTTTGTGGCGGCGGAAGGAGTTGAGATGTGGCAGTACCCTCTCCCCACGCAAAAACACCGAGTTGGAGTCTCTACGTGTATATAAAGTGTGTCACCCTTTCTTGTTGCCAGCAAACACGGTGGAGCTACACTGTGGCTGGCGATCACATTTATCACTTGGCTACTAATAGACCAATCATCCACTAAGAAATGTAACAGAAATTGCATTTAATGTGCACCCAATTTGTAAAGGTCATTTCGATATAGATGGAATATTGCTGACAGACCAAATGAAGCGTAAAATAGCATATCTTCACTCAGTCAAACCACCATTGTCATTTTGACGGTTGCACATGCGCTTGTCGAAGCAGCATTGTCCCTCTGACACTCAAACGCCTCGCACATTAGCGTTGATTTCTCCATGGTTGGATTCTCGACATAGGTATTAAACCTATATTACTGTCCATGAGTTTGCTGCAATCTATCAGGTGAAGTACTTTACCTGTAGGCTACAATAACGCTCTGTAGTCCTCAAAGAATGGCAATGGAACTTTTATTATAAATCATCTCAATTATTTAAACGTCAACTCATTCAATCACCGTTGCACCGAAGGCTGCATGTGTGCTTATCTGAACTCCCGACACCCCAATAGATGAGACATTAGCGTCGCATCTTTCACAATTGTACCGTCTGCTGACAATAGAAAGTTCATAAGACTGAGCAGACAGTTTTATGGTTCCTTGATGGATCTTAACAACCGCCAGACTTCACAGAAAATTCGCAATCAGACGAAGATGTTCGACGGACGCCCGTGATGACGTTGAAATGGGAATTTAAATGGGACAATTGTCAATCTGTATTAGTTTTTATTGGATAACGAGAGACCAATTGTAAGAGTGTTACAATTCGATTAAATGAGAACAGCGAAACTGATGCTCTGGAGTGGCTCAATCTCGCCGGTGTTTTTCTAAGTTTAGCTGATTATATGAGGTCGTTTTCTTTTTCACAGACAGAGCGATGGTTAGAAAGTGGCTATTTCATATGTAGGCAACAGACAATATACTTGTTATTTATTGATAAATACATCTGCTTATGTGCGTTAACATACTTGTCAATATGTCTTGTAGAGGACTACGTTCAAATGAGGTCATTATGGAAAACAAATTTTATTTGAACTCGGTTAAACGTTAGGTAATGACCATTTGCGTGAATTGTGTTATGAAGTACTTAAATAAAAACATTAGTTTTATGTGCTACAATAGCAGGTCTGTTAATTGTAACACTCTTACAATCGGTCTCTCGGGATCCAATAAAACATTACTCGATTTGTTTACACACAACATCGTACAGCTGTAATACTAGTGAAACATATACTAGCTCAGGATATAGTCACAATTGTACAATCGATTCTGCTTATAGCAGAGATTTCTTCTAGTTGTGGAAAGGGTTTTGTTACCTCTATTGTTATGAAAGAAAGTTTATTTCATTTTTCAGGCCATCGAAAATGTACAAAATGCAATGCATACTGTCCTGTTATGCTTGCAATGAAAATATACTACAGAGATATTCCGAGAGTACCCATGGGAAAACAGTAGTTTTCTTTGAAAATTTAATTATCTGTATGAAGAATTACAATGAAACGTCACATTTATCACGGGAATGTTATCTGTTAAGGCCTAAGAAAAATGCAATTAACTCACATAGGCACTTTCGCTTTCACATAACATAACATAACACACATACTATAGTACAAGGAATGTGCAAATCTGTTGGTTTGTTCCATAGAGTCAAGTGGATTTCAAAATAATATTGATTCCCTCCCACCTTTCTTAGTATAGAGATAAGAAGAAAGAGTGCAGGTTGTCACGCAGACAAAAACCGTTTGATTGCAAAAATATCTAAACGCTTATACACTTACACTTTTTGCAATCATTTGATCGATTTCTAGGGCAATATGAGGGATCTTACGGGACAAAAAGTTAACACAAAACAACCTGGATTGATTAAACATGGATCGAAAAACACGATAAGAAACGAGAAAACAAAGACATTCTTCCTAAAAAACACTGACAGGTGTGCTATGTGAATTCAAAAACGTCAATGGAAAAAGTACGTTTTTGCATTTACAGAGATGTCCCAGGCATCGTATGTTCCTGAGCAAAAAGGTGTACACGACTCAGTGCGAAACAAATAACTGTCTCGTTATGTATTTGAACACATCTTGCGTTTCCACGTACCCCATCGCTGGATGCAGAAAGCGTCTTCCCTTGTATGGAGAACAAATGAAATTTTGCATCCAGTTGCCAATGTGGATATGTAACTATCGTATTGAAAGATTGTATTTTTGTTCGTAAATAATATGCGTTTTGTTAGGATGAAAACTTGGTTCAGAAACAGAAGCTTTAAATCATAATGCTTACTTATCACCATGCCATTATTAGTTAACCAGAATTATACACATAAAACTTACAGAATGTACGCCTTATCTGAGTATGAAATGAATGAGCCTGCTTTACTGGTGGCAGAGAATTGGCAAGTTGACGATACGAAATCTTCGATAATCGGGCTCCTGTTTCACACAGCGATCGTAGCGCTACGACTGTCGTAAGTCTATGTTAAAGTATGGGAGTTACGATCACCTTAGTGCTACGATCGCTTTGTGAAACGGGGCCCAGAACCCTATCTCTAACTTCTTGGTCCAATTCACTCCTTTTCTGAGTTTGCCAAGCCTAACAGAAAGTCCGATTCGTATGCACAAAGGAAGCGAGCGCAACAAGTACCCATAGCGATGCTAAGTCATTATTCATACTCATCTCTAAATGTCACATACATGTCAATGGTATAAGGTAGAATGTAACATTTCATGTTCATATTTTTGGTAATTTTCAGATGGAATTTGCTTTCAATTTTGTAATATACCTATGACATGGATCAAGGACTGATGACTGAAGTGTATGACCATTTCAGAAAAGAATGACAGCAAATCCCGAATATTCCTACTTTTGTCCGAACTCATAATCAACTGAACTTAGTAACAAAACACAAGCGCTGATTGAACTACTCAAATGCCCAACAGCTTCGTTGTTCTCATTGAATCGACTTGTTACACTGTTATGCACTTTCTTTTTCGTAATATTTTTATTCCAATAAAAACCAATAAAGACTGCCAATTGCCCCATTTAAATCCCATTACGGGATTCCGCCGAAACCTTTTGTCTGATTGCGTATTTTCTGTGCAGTGAGGAGGTTGTTAAAATTCATAAAAGAGCTGTCTGTAAAACTGTCTGCTCAGTCTGGAGAAAGATGCTGCACTAATATACAATCCTGCCGAATGTCATTGGGTCAGCAATATCACGGCGGGGATTTACGCCGCTTTAGCAATATCCAGCAATATCACGGCGGGGAACATCAGAAATGGGCTTCACAAACTGTACATGTGGGGAATCGAACTGGGGCTTTTGGCGTGACGAGCGAACGCTTTAACCACTAGGCTACCTTTGCCTTTTCGAATACTCGTTTTAATCATGACATGTTAAGGGATCCAAACATAATAACAATGAAGGTGTCTTGTCCACAACTTCACTCAAAGTAGTAATAATGATAATAATAATTTGTAATGCGCAGAATTCCGCACTACGGTGAAGCACGCTCAGAGCGCTACAATCTGATTACTAGTATCATTGCCCCGGATAACCCAAGCTGACTGTGAGGCGCTAGAATGTTAATTGTCTCACGACTCATTTCACCGGGTACCCATTTTCTGCAGGGTGAACAGAGGCAAGAAACTCACTTGCCAAAGGTGAGGCCACATGTATCACATGTGCTTCGTTGTGTGGCAGAACTGAAGTCCTAGAAACTCTCAGGATTCAAGCTGCCAAACACGGTCACCCATCGACGAACTCTCCGCCCCAAATGTTGCATAACTTCAACTGATTTGTGACCTGAGCTGTTCGCTCTGAAAAAGGTTTGCTATGTTAGAAATCATGATCGACATGTATGTTACTGACGTCTAACAATACAAAATGCATTCGTCAATTTATAACATTTTTCACATGCACTTCAGATCTTTCTGTAGTTGTGAAAAGAATCGATGTTCCATTTGCGGTATTAACCTGTTTGTTTGCTCAGGTGAACGGACACATTTTAACCCTGTAGTTGCATTTTACCGACGCATACTTCAAATCCATTTCAATTACCAACACTCTGCTTGCATGTTAATCCATATTTGACATTCTTCTTCTCCTTGGTGAGGAGTGAGTGAGTAGGGTTTTACACTGCTTTTAGCAATATTCCAGCAATATCACGGCGGGGGACACCAGAAATCTCGAACTAACAGTATACATGTATTAGATACTCTATGGAGGAACCACAGTTATTTTACATATCTATTCATCACATTGGGGTATTTAAGCTCATGCGTATTCATCAAATATGACCCATGAACAGTTTTGTCCCGAACATATATTGTTGGACAGAACCGAACATCGATGATTCGTTCACAGTTTCAATTTCTTTCACATTTCTGTTTTGTTTTGTTCTTATTTTTAAAGTATGAACACATAATACGTCAGACCAAGTGAATATCCAGTCTTGACCGTACTTCTTGAGAGAAACTCTTCAGTTCTCGTGTCACTCACAAAATGTCCAGTCTCATGCCATTGTCTGCTTAACCATATATACATCAACATAACGTACCTCGTTAAATGGAAATTGGCAACACAAACATAAAGACTTCAGACAGAATCATTGTCAAATACAATAAATGCACACACGAGTTGTGACAATGATAATAATTTCAGACCAAATAACATGTTACTAGTCATTTGTTCTTCTCTTAACGTGGCATAAAAGACAAAATTACAAAGCATTATCGATTTAGAGCGACAGTTATAGTGCAGAATAACACGCTAATATCAGACTTGGTTCAGAAACACACCGACAATTCTATAATGAAGAGCCTTGATTCCATTGGTTGGAGAATCGCCATTGCATATAGCCTTGTGGGAGGCTGTCTTCGTCCTGTTTTGTAATCCTTCTATCACCGAAATGCAAGTGATGTCCATTTATGACCTGTTGGGATCAACTGGGAAGTCACATTTATGACCCAGTCATATGGATGACCTGACTTTTAGATCATTACTGTTGGCGACGCAGGGTCATTATTTCACACCGTTGTTTAGTTACTGCAGCTGTTTCTTAATCCCAACGTATAAGTCCATTTGTATAGCGCCCTATATCCAATCACCAAGTGGTTGCTCATGGCGCTTACTATATACATATTTACAATAGGAGTTCATTTAGATGTCATAGTGCTTCTTGAACAGGAAAGTTTTTAAGTTAGACTGGAAGCTGGCTATTGAGGGAGATTCTTTGAGAGATACGTGCAGATGGTTCCAGAGGATAGCTGACAAGTAGGAAAAACGTCGGTGTCCATATGTCTTCAGACGTGCATTTGGGATGATGAGCAGCGACTGATTGGCTGATCTCAGATTAACCACAAATATTGGACAAATACAGTTAATATCAACAAGCAAATGCACAAACCATCAAATTTACATTTCATAAACTATGTCCATGCTCTTATATCGTACATCAATACGTTTTGGTCCATCACATAATTATGACAAACACCGTAGATAAAGGATCATTTTTGGCGGTATGGACTTAACAGTTATGGACTTATTGTTTTCCTTCCAGACTTCTACATTACACGTAGGTGAAGGACTTGATATCATTATATTTATTTTGTGCTATATATTCGTGCTGATACTGACTGGGATACATGAATAGCTAAACCTGTTTGTTCCAGATATTGGCATACACAGGCGGGGTCCAGGGCCCTGTTCCTCAAAGCGATCGTAGCGCTACGACTGTCGTAAGTCTATGTTAAAGTATGGGAGTTACGATCACCTTAGGGTTACGATCGCTTTGAGGAACGGGGCCCTGAAATGTAAAATTCCCTGTACAGAAAATGGGAAATTGTCGTTACGTTAAGAGCAGCAAATTGTTAAATAAGTAAAGCAAATTGTTAAATAAGTAAAGCAAATTTTAAATTTGCTTTACTTATTTAACAATTTGCTGCTCTTAACGTAAGTCGATGGGAGTTATTAAACCTGAAGAAGCAGTGACTTGGGGGCTGTGTTTTGTTTTGTTTATTTCTTTCCTGAACAAACAGGTTGCTGAACCAACTGAGAAAATTGAAAGTCAATATACTTCGAAAACAGGTTTTGTAAAATGTGCCCAATGACAGTTGAATCATCTTGAAATTTAGGTAAACGTTCGAGAAAATTCAACGTTTGTTGCCACTTTTTTTGTGCACAACGTCAACTTTTTGTCAATGATAGTGCCTCGGGTCAGGTGTTGATTTAGACTTTCGGAAATAAATTGCCATTTCTTTGATGTTATTTGTGTTTATTACCAAATACCTTTCTTTGCACTAATTTGAAAAACGATTCATTTCGTCTCTGTAATCATCTGCATCATCGCTGCATTGCTGCATAATCTGCAAACATAACAAGAAAACAAATCTGCAGATTCAGTCATTAGTGTAAATGATAAATAGTATTGGCTTGGTTGCCACAACCCTGCGGTGCCCCTGTAGACAAAGAAGTAATGGAACAGCAAGTTTCGTTACTAGTGACAAACTGAGGCCTGTCAACCATGAAGGATTGTATCCATTTAATACGATTACTTTTCACTGACATATGTGATAATTTCGACATAAGTAAATGTTGCTGTGTGGTGTTGAATGCGGAGGAAAGGTTCGCTGAAAGAATTCTGACAGAGGAGTTTCTTTGTTCTAGATGGTTATCAATGAGATTGATAATGGGGGTGTTAGCATCGTCAGTTTGTCGTCATCGCAAACTGTATGGGGTCTTGAAATTGGTCTATAGTTTCGAGAAATTGGTCAACGTCTCTTAAGAGTAATCTTTTAACAGTGCGTTCCAGGTATTCCATGAATCCATATGATAATCTCAGGGGTTGGTTATCATCTAGGAAATATAGGAACGAGAATGATACTAGAAGTATTCAAAATTTATGGAAAATGAGACGTTAAAGTTGATTGAAACAGTCTCTTAGAGATGCTGCACGAATGCTCACGACATCCTCTAAGTACAACTCAGCAAATTATCAGGACCAGAGCTTTTCCGAACCTTTACCACAGCAAATGTGCCTGGAATATCATCCATTGTAATTTCCAGGAAGTCATCTGCCGAAAGAGCTTCCAATATGCCATGCCTTTCCACTGAAAGAATGGTGTAGATCAAAACGAGAACAGAAGACACCATTCGCAAACGTAAACTGTCTTTACATGATTATATGACATGTCTCTATTAGTTCCTTGGATATTCTAGACACAGTTTCAGCCAGGACAAAGCAGTCTTGGAATTTCGATTCAGCTTGCTTCTAATCTTATATTGAAGTTTTCATTTACTGGAGCAGCGCAGGATTTCTTTCAGCTTTGGCGTTCAGCTTGTACAAAACGCCAGGTTTTCATTTCATTTATCTTTGATTTCCTCCGTGGCCCACGGTTTGCTCTTCGAGTAAATCCTAACTGTCTTTGTCGGAATGGTTTGGGTTTTGGTTTGGTTGTTTAACGCTGCACTCAGCAATATTCCA